TTTACGGTAAACATGTGGTTTTGTTCAGAAAAAAAATATCTGTACTAAACTATGGCGGACACTCTTTAAATTAAATCCAAAATTCAAACATTAAAAACATGGTCTTTAAGTACCTATAGGTACTTACTAAAAAATTCCAAAAATTCGAATTTGAATGAATAGTTTATCAAAAGATATACCTAAGGGGGAAAGAACATTCTTAGCGAGCCACTCTGTATATATATTTATCAATTTTATATAATTGAACTGTATCCTTCAATGTCACAGCCGAACTACGACAACAATATTGTCAGAAATACTCAGTATACATTTTATATTACTGCATACGATCATTAATGTAATATTATAAAATCTGAAAAACAATAATACAATATTATATAAGTTCAAATACTGCGCGTATATATATACGATATTATTATCACTGCTGTAGTGTATAGAATATAATATTATTATTAGTATCACGATTCATGGATGGCGTTATTATATTATATTATTTGATATTGATTTGTGAGCGGTGAGCCGGCGACCGGCGCGGTGCACGGTTGAAATGTATAGGTATAGCTGTAACATATTATTTGGTTCTGTTGAAAAATTAAATACTTTTGTTCGGACTTGCGCCGATGGTATAATATTATTATTATTGTTCCCGTTTAATAAAATATTATTCGCGTGTAGTACTGTATATTGAACATCATACAAAAAACATAATATACGTAATACGTCAAACAATAATATACAAACTTATATTAATAAATACAATGCGTTGGTATAAATTAAACTCCAGCGATGTGCATATGATTTTATTTTATTTTTTATCCCAAAATCCTATGATACTCATATAATAATCATTATTAATATCAATCATACGGTACCTTTAGGAGAATTACCTACCTAAAAATAAAAATCGAGGAATAATTATAATATTTACCTATGTGTCATTTTAATAAAAAAAAATCGCGATTTTCATTTAAATTAATTTTTATTATCCTCAATTTAATAATGCAGCGTTTATAATATATATATTTATATATTATATAGGCACATTAATATAGTAGTCACGTACGTAGACACAGCGTTCTAGGCGTGAGTGTGTTTCGAATGTCAAATTATTATATTATTATCGTATATATAGCACGTGCAATAATATTATTAGACGAATTGAATTCGGATGAATTTTAAACCGTTATGTAGGCATTGGAAATCTATACCTACTACATGTCTATTGTCTACATAGTACATACCTAATAATATTATGTTATAATAAATGCTTTCGTACAATTGCATAGGTATACGATTTTTATTTAGCAAAATGATCTTGATGGTATCCTAAAATTTAAATTGGTTTGTTTATGTACATAATATGCTATTGCATACAATATAGATACCAGTCGATGGCCATAGTCGCCATGGTTTTATTTGATAAAAATAAAAAATAAAATAAAATATAAATACGAAATATGTACATATTATAATTGAAAAAATTGTAGGGAATATATTATATATACCTATATTCTATAGTATATCTGAATGTCTCTATATTTTATGTTATATCTGAAAGAAATTTACCCGGAAGGCTAAAGGATAAAAAAAAATGAATAAACAAAACAGGTAGGTAGATAGGTATGTTATTAAATTACGCAAGCTTAAAATTTTTTGGCACGAGATCAGTGGTGAACGGTTTTGGTAACCAATGGCATAGGTGCGGATAGTGCTCTCTTGGCGAATATCAATATATATATATATATATAATGTGTGTGTGTGTGTGTGTGTGTGTGTGTGTGTGTGTGTGTGTGTGTGTGTGTGTGTGTGTGTGTGTGTGTGTGTGTGTGTGTGTGTGTGTGTGTGTGTGAATGTACGTATATTCATATGCGTTAGTCATGGTAACGGTACACGAGCAAAGTGAATGATCTTCAACATCAACAACATTGACCAATCGCAAGTCGATGATCGATCAACAGAATATAATAGGTACTAGGTAGTATAGAGGATGGCTGTATGTGCGTGGAAAAAAATAACCGCATAATCGATACGTGCATATATATGCGCAGGCACGAGATAATCATATACGACCGATGTACCTACATATATATATATATTATATATAATATATAATATCCGATTTTCCTATACTTATATTTTGTATATATGTTACATACAAACATAGTTTACCTGCTATATACGTGACCTTGTGTGTTTCGTACTTATTTTCCGCGATAGATTTCGATCGCAATAAATTATTTTTTCTGCCATCACCGACGATGATTTCTAGTTGGAAAGTTGTTTTTAGGGTGGGAAAAAAATCGATTTTCGTTCTAATCGCGTACGTTGCATTTTATGCGGTCGATGAAGTCTTACAAAAGTTCCAACGACGTTTCGTGCAACTTCTTGCAGAGTCTTTTTAGTGAAAACTTTTAATCCTCTTTGTATATAACTATATATACGAACTAATTACGATGAATTCCGGAAAGTGCTTGATGAAAAGTTTCGACAGACGCATCTTTAACAAGGTCTGATGAACAAATCGGCTTGAACATTTACTCCCCTAACTTCGGTGCTCGTATAAAATATATAAGCCAGACGAATATCCCAGAGATAGGCGGGAGGTTTTTTGCAGTGGCGTAGAAAGACTCGTTAACGCCCCTGGCAAACCTAGAAAAATGCGCCTTTTTAGCGATTAAAAAATTGACGAAAATACGGAATGATATTTTTTAACATTTATTTTTTATAATATATATAATTAGGTAATACAATATTATTTAACTATCAGTTATTATGATAATGCAAATTTCAAACTTTAAAAATTTTCTTTTCTTGCTTTAAGGCTAGAGAATTCATTGATGATTTCGTCATATGAAATTTGTTTAGCAAATTCATGTTCTATGGATACGATAACGATAAGCTCGATGTTCAGTGTTCACAAACACACACACGAAACACGAATTTAAAGATAAACAAGATAAACAAAATCATACACATTTCAAAATGTATAGCCGTATAGGTAATAAAGAAATGACGTTTTGAAGGTAGAATAAAAATAAGTACCAATTTAAAAGCACAAATTTGCGCCCCTTCATAATTTGCGCCCCTGGCGTAGGCACAGTTCGCCATACCCTTGCTACGCCACTGGTTTTTTGGTTTATAAATTTAAATTTGTATAGATTTTTATTTCATATTCATTGAGAGTATAGGTAGATACACCCATATTATTATTCTACCTAGTTAATTGTACATATTCATCATCCATTTTTTATAAATCAATAAATAACAGGGACTTGTGTTGTATCGTCATTGAACTCAGAAATTTAAATTGAATATTATTATATACGATTACAGTATAGACAATAAACTATAACTTACAGACAAAAAATGTAAATAATAAATATAGTATTGATGTCAAAAGACTCGTAAATAATATTAATATACTACTTGTATTTAGTAATAAGTAATAACTAATAGTATAGTCTGTGTAGTATATGTGGATACTGGATACCTATACCTACCATCAGGTACAATAATTATTATTTATAATACATAGGCAATAAAACAAATATTAGTATCCAAACAAAATAACGTTTGTGTCAAATGCAAATCAAAAGCGTAAGTACAGGTTTAATAAAAGCAATATAAATATTTTAACGTAATGCGACTATGCAAGTAATATTATATTATACATATAGACACACACACGCACATATTATTATATATAGGTACTATAATATATGCACCTATAAAATATAAAAATAAAATCACATCCTACGGGCTATGCGGGTAATATACTAGTTGTAAAAGATTGGTTATTTTTGTATACTTTCACTGTACATGAAAGTTACATACTTACATATATTACATAATAATATATTATAATAATACCGAATGATCTATTATGCATTTATGCCTAAATAATATTTCCTCGTAAATCGTATAAACGATATATTTTAAGCACATTAATATTATTTATTATACCTATATGGCACGTAGGTATTTCTAAACGTATCGCACACGGTCATCGGAAGTAAGCGCACGTAGTCCGTTCATATAGGTATATTGCAGGGTCGAAATTAAACGTAGAGCGAGGGGCGTGAGAACCCGGGCCCCGGGGACACTACTATAAAACTGAAATACATCCGGGCCCGTTGATAGATAAGAAGATTCTGAATTTAAAAAAAAAATGGATTCAACAATTTACCTAAAAGTTTTTAACTCTACAGTTGACTTCAACGTCGTTTAGAAAATATATTAGTTATTGTGAAAAACACTCCGGTCCCGTGAAATCGTTCATCTGCACGTTCGTACAGGATAAAATGCTTGTAATAGGTATAAAATATTTTGTTTCATACAACTAAATACTACTATAATAATGTAGTATATGAATGACTGAATGGCACGACAAAAATTGATACTAACAATGAAATCATTACCACTGAAATACTTGATTATTGACTCAACACTTGTTCACTAGATATTTTGTATATAGTGGCTACAGGTTATTCAACCTGCCAAGGACTTGGCAATTCATAAATTCACATTAACGTTCGAATGTAAGACGTCGTGCTATACCCGGTTCCGCATATAAAAAGTTGCAAATGGAGATAATTTCGTATAAAAATTGGCTAATTTAAGAACGATGACGCGCGGCTGATGGGTATGATAATACTTCGATAATCTCCATTTTAGGAGTATAATATAAATCATGGAGATTCAAGTAAAGTTCAAAAGGCTATCCGTAAATCTAAATTGACTCGATAAAAGTTGTTATGTATACTGAAAAGGCATACTTGTTGCCATTCATCTGGTACCAGGAAGTGCGTAAAATAACCGTTTGTGTTATATGTATTGCTCTATATCAAAATGTAAAAATAAATAACTCATGCACGGTGGGTATACGTAATCTATCTACTACCTAGGCAGTAACTGTATAGGGACGAATAATAACATAGCAGTCATGGTGGTATAGGAGTCGACTGGAAAATTAGCAAATCACGCTCGGTTCGAACACTGACCTGGTGCGGTGGTGGATGAGGATGGCGTAGAGTTGGTGATGGCAGCCGTCGGCGGCGGGGGAGGTGGTTGAGAGGCGGCCACGCGGCCAGTGTACACGGTGGGCTGCCGGTACGTGGAACTGGTGCACGGAGATTGGACGCGGACGTCGCGGAAAGCGGCCGCGGGCGTGGACGTGTCCATGGGCACAGTGGTGCAGGGCTCGTCACCGAATCCCTGGGCTGGAGGGTCGTGGCTCTCCGAGCCGGCCGTATCTGTGGTCGTGTCATCAAAAAAGCTCAGGTTAAACTCTTCAGTGGTGCCGGCGCCAAACGACACGTCGGCCGTTAGCTTGTCGGCGGACGGTGCGCCGCCCAGCCCCGCCGCTAACGATTGATCGAGCTTGAACACGTCCATGTTTTGACGGTTATATATGTTTATGTGTCGTCGTATGTCGTATGATATTATGTCGTAGAGCGTTCACGAAAACAGATGACTCCAATTATAGATGTTTGGAACGACGACGACGACGGCGGTGGTGGCGGTGGTTCAAGTGCAGCCGGTGTCCGACGAGGGCCGGCGGTCGTCAAGTGACGGCACTGCGACGGTGGAACATGTCGGTGGTGATGCTGCTCCGGTAGGTGGTGATGCATATCCACCGCCACCGTTATACTGCGGTGGGATTTTCAGGGTGCAAATTGGCGAGACGCATTTTCAGATGGAGAGCACGATGATAATTCAAGTGCGATTTTTAAGACTAATCTCTCTAACTCCCCGACGATAGGAAAATACTATTTTGGAAAAACGCGCGTACATACAGTATAGAATAATGTAGACCGATCGAACGCGCGCCCGACTCGACTCTTTATAAATATAATGTATACATATATTACTATCGTTGTAATAATAATATATATTATAAATATATTTATTACGTATGCGTTCTGTGCACGTGCGCGTACCCACGATGACTGCACTGGAGCACCACAGATGTCTCACACGGACACGTCGGCCGGCCGGCGATGGTACGCACGCAGAAGACGACGACGACGACCGCGGCAGGTAAGCTACTACGACGACGACGACTACTACTACTACTACTAATAATAATAATAATAATAATAATAATAATAATAATAATAATAATAATAAAAATACTAATACTACTAGATACAGAGATACTACTACAACAAACACTATATAATACGACTACGATCCGGCCGCCGTGTAAGCGTTTGCGTGCGTGCGTTCGTGCGTGCGAGTGCTGTTGATAGTTCAGTGACCGACGACGACGACGACGCTGCCGCCGCCGCCGTCGCAGGTTGTCAGATGAAGTGGTGGCGGCAGCTATGCAGGTGGCGGCGGTGGCGACGGTAGTATACGGCGGCGGTGCACGTACACATAAGCGGCGCTCGGGGTTTAGTGGGAGTGCCCCGCGGATCCTTCATCGCCGCATGATTCGCTTTAAGTGCGCTCTCTGGTCGTCGTCGTACATTTCCGAATAATAAAATATGCTACGGCAAGCGTGTGACCGAGAGACAAATACCCTTTCGCTCGGTCTCCGAGTTTTCTTCCGGTTTTCCGGTTTTCAAGTTCGCCGATCCACTTGGAACGCACAGACCAAATGTCGGATGTCAGGGTGGCGAGGATTGGTGGGGAGCGCACTTCCGTCGGTGTCTCTTATTGCTTTTCGAAAATATTACTATATACTACCGGGGGCTCCATCGGGGGAGGCGCAATGAGAATTCTTGCAGGTGAAATAGCTTCCTATATATCAGATTTACTTTTGTAAAAAAACATTTATTGTATAAGTTATTCATATTTCATTCTTTGAATTCTTAATATATTATATTATGACTGTTTAAATTAATTTGATACATTCATTAATTACTATACTGTCTATACTATAACTATACTCTGTTCAAAATAAAAAACACAGTCTGCGGCCAACTTGTGCGCAGGTAATACTACACGGCAGGTATAGACCTACTCAGTGGGGGTGACAAATGGGACCCATTTAATGGGTGTTACCTGACTTCAGCCGACGAAAGCTGATCGTCGCACCGACTGTGTTTCTTATTTTGAGTATAAGTAAGAAGTACCGAAGTGTACCTTATTGTTTGCTTATACCAACAGTCAATAGGTACTTATCTAATTTAAGTATATTAAACTATTCAAGTATATGCATGCACCTTTTTAGGTCAATTATTATTAAAATATCTTTTTAGTTTCTGTACAGTGTTGCAGAAACTGCTATTAAAGTTACCACATTTAAACAGAGTCGAACTTTTGACGTTAAGCGTGTAATCCATAAAGTAATAAATAATAAATATTAAAATTTTAAACGCTTCGTTTTTATAATGAATGTAAAGTGACACTTATGCCTTTCGCACCCTACCAAATAGCACGGTTACCGACTATAATACCAGTACCACTACAAAATGCAAATCTAGCATATTATATACGAAACAAAAAAAATAAATCACAATAATAGTTTATAGTTCTTATTATATGTACCTATAAGTTATATATAGCCATATAGGTAGGTACTAAAAATCGTCTTATTTGTATAGTCGTCGCCCGTCGGAAACTGTAGTCTGTATTTTACCAAGGAGTGTTACTTGGATTTTAAAACCCTATACGGCTATACTGCCTATATATTATAAACATGTGTACATACACAAATTAAACATATCTACAATTAATTTTTAAAAACGGTCACCTGTGATCAATATCGGTGAACGATGAAATTATGCGCACCTTGCCCCTTGAATCTTGATGAGATGGCCGAGGTGTAATCTTATTCGGAAACTGTCGAAGGTGATAGTGGGGCTCTCAAATATTCTAAAAGACTCGCTTTACTGGAATGTTCAGCCATTGTTGCACACAACTACTATGACTTATTATTAGCACTCGCGGAGGGTGACTCGAGAATGGCTTGATTTATGATATCAATAATCGAACGGCTTGTGGGTACACGAAGAAAACGGTCGGCGACTGAAATATTTTTACGATTGAGTCTCTGAGTGACAAACAATATCGAGGTTATGTGCTGGAGGGTGTCTAGAGGTATTCCATTAAGCGGTATACGGAGAACGATGATCACGTTGGCAATGCTTAAAACCTTAAACCACGGTCGTTTGCGTTCCATGAATTTAGACCCTTGTAGAGTTTTGCACTCAATGTGGATTCAAGGAAACTTTACACTATACTGTGATAACCTAGTAAGTAATAAAGTTTCAATATCAGTGAAAGTTGAACAGCGATTTCCGGAAAAAAAATTTGACACCATGATTGGCTTAATCATGAGGATAGTATATACGGTATTCCGGTATATACCTAATGTTTATAAGTAAATACCATATACGTGAAAATATAACCAAACCTACTCTAGTGGAAATTCTATAGCGGAAAACGTTTTGCAGAACAAACGCCAACGTGTGAAACGTTGAAAAGGTAGAAATTTGTGAGCTCTTGGTTTAGTGCGGTATTTGTTTAACCGTGGTCGCGGTCTTAGACATAAAAAGTTAATCCTGGTAATAGTCGTGATAGTAGGTGGGTTTCCACTACATGCATGTATGTGTACGACGTACGTGCATATATTTACTGGATAGGTACGTTCGCTATGAACGGTCACACAAACGTTTTACATCGGTTAATATAAGTTAGATCTGTTAGGATTGGTAACATATTAGTTACCTCATATATTATTATGTTATCAATATAGAGCCGTGTACACGGAAAAGTTGAACTGGATCCAACTTCATGGTATCATGGTTGTGGCTTGTGGTAAGAACGTATAACACTCTGGTATACCAAAAGCTTACCATGTATAGTGTATACCAACCAATCACAGAAAAGTATTTTTATGCACGTACACGTACACGTATATAGTGGAAACCCACTTTAGAATTTATTTGGGATCGACTTCTCGGTTTTTGTCTCGCAATAAAAATATTAAACAACCGATTTTGCACAGTTCATGTATGATTTATTCGATGCGCTTATCCACATTTCACCGATGTTATTATTTTAATTGTTCCATTCGACGAAACGACGTAGCAACGCTATATGTTATTACATATTGTTACAGATCCTCTTCCGTCGTCACCCTAAAGTAGAAATGTTTAAATGTATAATCATTAATCGTTGATGAAAAAAAACACTTTTAGAAATTCGGTATTTTTGGCTCTCGAGACTTTCGTATAAATCAATTAGGGTATATAAATTGTACACAGCACGAGTGTTTGCTAAAGTATAATGTAGAAAGCTGCAATTGTTAAAAAAAAGAAAAGGAAATTGTGACAACACGACTTATGGACCGTAGTTTCGAAAAATTCTTTTTCGGATTGTTTCCAACGAAAAATACGAGTTGCGAAGAACAATATTAAACGACGTTAATTTATAGTTTGCGGGGACCTTTCTTTTTAGTGAAACACCGAGCCAGCGCTATGCTGATAAATGTTAGCCTTACAATCGCCTTAATGTTTACTTAATCTTAAAATGCGTACTGCTGAGCATATTTACAATCACAAATGCAATATCTGCAAAGATAAATTCATATCAATTGTCCACTTTTACATGATAATTACTAAAATACTGATCAGTCGACAAGCATCTAAGTTTTTTTTTATAGGTATTCTTATTTTTGTGGTGATTCAAACATAATAAAGAAAATTCAGGTTTTCTTTTTAATACAAGTTTATTTTATGGTTACATTGTTTTTATTTTACCTTGCACACATTGAAAAATGTTTCAATCAGTAATATTTACGTCTTAAAGATAATATTGCATGTCAAACAATACTGTTTCTTTTTTTTTTTAGAAATATATTGTATAGTGTAAATACATTTAGTTTTTAATAAATTCCATTTTTACTTTCGATATTTCTTATTCTTAACAGTATTACTCCAATCTGAATAAAATATGTATTTTAAAACTCAACTTTTTGTTACAATTGTCCAGATAAAATATCGTGTAAATAAAATATATTAATTTATGTTCACTGTTTCCGTCATATTTACGTTAGTGATTTATTTAAAAGATTTGTATTTTTCATTTGTTTTATCTTAAAGGCATTTTTTTTGTTCTATTGTTAAATAGAGCAAGGCACAACGCTAGTCTATACACTATTCTATACACCATCACTTTTGAGTATTGAACGCTGACAAATAAAATATTTAAATTATTATGTTTTGAAGAAGCATATTATTTTATATTTTTAATTTACACAAAATTACTAATTATATGAATATGAAACAGGTTTCAAAATCTTTCAACGAAAACTCAATGACCACATTTTAATATCATTACCTATTATCCCAATAAGATTTTGAAAGATCATATAAGTATGATTTGTTTGTGTAAATAACAGATAAATATTATAATATATTTTCATGTATCACAATCTCAAATTCGTTTCAAATATATCTGCGTTATATAATTTCATACGTCATGACCATGTATGTGGATACATTTTGATGTTCTTGGACACGATTTATTTAACTCGGTGTTCATCGATAATGTATAGGTATTGAAAAATTCGTAAATTTTTGTTAAGTCTCATTGATTTACATTACAAATTTAAAATACAATATTGCGACGCGTTTACTATTTTCATTTACACAACGTAAACAACACAATAGATCTTAGAACTTTTGGCGAATCATGTACAAAAATACCGGACTTAGTCAATATTGTGTTGATTGCTGATTAATAGTAGTGTAATAATTTATTTTATATGATATTTTTTCTTATCTTTTAGAGGTACAGAGTAAAATTAGC